GGACTTGGTGGGGGCTGGGAGGTGGGGGAGGGGACCAGGAAGGCTTCCTGGTCCAGGAGGGAGGTGTGCAGAGGCAGCCCTGGGGGGCCATGCTGTCCCCCCTGTGTCCCTCCTCCAGTGCAGGCCCTCGGCATCTGGAGAGCCAAGACAGCTCTGGAGCAGAGGCTGTCCCAGGCCATCCGCAGTTGTCCCCGGCACCTAAGTCCTCCTGCACTGTCCTCCCTGACCCCGAAATGTTGCCCTTTGTTTGGTCTTCAGTGAGAATGGAGAAGTTCCCAGTTTCACTCTCCGTCTGCTGCTTGGTGAGAAGACTTGGATATCACTCCCACAGGTCGATTTCCTTAGCCAGGGTGGGGAGCATCGTAGAAACCGGCAAGGGAGGAGAAGGACACTTGGCATTTGGTTTCTGAAAATGTCTTGCTAGGTGGGACTTGGAGCACTGGAACCACACCTGGCCCTCCCTCCACCTGATAGCGGACAGTCCCACTTCCAGTGACCCGAAGAATGAAAACGGAAGACCTCTTTTCATCCTGAAGGCGAGGCGAGGGGTGCTCCCAGAAGAGGTCCAGGAGTGGGACCAGCCCTGCCTCTCACTAGCTGTGTGACCTTGGGCAAGCCCCTTCACGCCTCTGGGCCTCAACTTCCTCACCTACAAATCGAGGGGTGGACAGGCAGCCTCAGCTCTCAGATGTAGCATTAGGAAACCTTGCGTAGCGTTGACACAAAGAGGTGCGGGCCGGGCTGCCCGGACCCAGCCCCTTCTCGCCCTGGACGTGCTCTCTCCGTGCAGTCGAGCCAGTCAGTACACGGGGTGTACCTGAGGCCTTGGGTCCCCTCTAAGCTCTACTCAAACATCCTCCCTCCCGGGCCCCACCCCCGGGCCCTGCCAGCAGCTGGTGGGGGAGGGAAGGTCAGCGGGCACCACACAAATCCCCAGCCAGGCCACCGTGGCCGGGTTTATCTCTCACAGATCTGAGATTATCCCATCCAGGCACCAATCTCCTTAGGAGAGAGCTGAGTGAGTCTGTGTGTCTGGGAAGGCCTGGGGCCCCAGGCTCAGGGGTCTGCTCTCTCCTGGCCTCAGAGCCATCACCCGAATCCTCGGGAGATTCCCCCACAGGCCCCAGCCCACTCCACGAGGTGGAGGAAGAGCCACGGAAGCTATGCAGCGCCCTCACCTCTTCCCGACAGGCCCCTGGGGATTTGCTGTTCCGGACAGAGAGGGGGAACCTGGGAGCCAGAGAGAGGATGCGGTTCCCTCCCTACACAGGCTTCCAGGCACAAAAATAGCAGAGCAATAAATACCCAGTGATGTGGATGTGCACAAAATGCACACAAATGCAGACCACAGGGCGGTCGCCGTGACGGAAGTCTCCCCGGGTGCCCCCAGCACCCACTCCCAGCCTCCTCCTTCCTGGCCTGCCACTTCCTGTGGGAAGCCCGGCTTTGTTAGCTCAACTCCACACACCTGCCCCTTCCCCTGAGTCCAGCTGTGCTCTGTTTACCTGGCAACGGAGCCGAGCCACACCTCTGCTCTTTCCTAGCTACCACCCCGCCAGGCCCAGGCGATAAGCCCTCCCCAGGGCCTCCCAAAGAAGGGGCTATTTATGCCCCAGCCCAGGAACCCTGCACTGCTCCACCACCAGGATCACTTTGAAGGCCCATCACCAGCAGGAAAGAGGAGCTCACCCTTCCCGTGAAATCCGAGGCCCTGAACTCCTGGCTCCATTCTTGTTACCTGTGTCCCAGACCACACACAAGGGGGGCCGGAGCCCACCTTCCCAGCCCAGAGAAGGAATAGGCCCGACAGGTGTCCCTCAGTTCCCCACATCCTGGGGCCACACCCCGGCACAGGGGCAGGTCCAGGGACCTGTGGCAGAGCCATCCCTGGGAGGTCTCTGTGAAGAGAGGAGGAAGTGGGGTTCAGCAGTCACCGGCCCAGCCCCCACTCTTTCTCTGAGCAGCCGAAACATCCCCCTCGGGGAAGAGTACCTCCTAGACTGAGATGACAAAGATGAGGGGCCAAGCAAGAGGGCTTAAGTGCCCTTGTTTTCAAAGAACATGCACTGGGCTGGGGATGTAGCTCAGTGGCACCGCACCTGTCTTGCAAGCACAAGGTCCTGAGTTCGATCCCGGGTACTGCATGAATAGGGAGGCTGGGAGGTCCAGAGCAGGAAGAACTTCCCAGGGGAATCATGCAGCAGCAGCCCCTCCCCACACAGGACTGAGGGGAAGGCAGGTGACAGGAGAGAAGATGCAGGGGTACAGCAGGGCTTGGTCAAACATCTGCCATCCTTGGTTCTTTGGGTTTGGCCCCCAAACCTCTAATACAGGGCTCCTCCCAGGGTAACCCCTCATTTCTACTGGAAACTGTCAGGTCCCTGTGGACTCTGTCCCTTGGGGCAAGGGCCAGCGGTGAAACTCAGGGTCACCTGGGAGCCTGGGAGCTGGGCTAGACAATCATTAACTGGGACGCCTTTCTCCCTCACCCCACCCGGGCCTGCTGTCCTTAGGAGGGGCAGAAGCAGCCCTCCCCAGTCCAACGGGGCAGCTGAAGGGGACAGCAGGGTGAGGTCCCTGGCCAGATGCCCTGCCCTGGGGACTCATGTCCACCCCAGGGCATCTCTGTCTCATCCAAGTCCCCAGGCCGCCGTCCCTTTTGCACACTCTCTTTTCCTCTGACCCCCTGTGGTTTCTGCAGGGCCCCTGAAATGGGGAGGGACCAGGAAAAGGCAACCATCGGGATGCAAACTGCTGGGAAGAGGGAGTGAGGGAAAGTGACCAGGCGGCACCTGCCCGCGCCCGCACACGGCTGGCCTGTGGGCCCTCCTGCGCACGCGTGCACGCACACACACCAGCCAGGGGCCCCGGCCTGCTCACGCGCGTGCACGGGGCCTCCACCACGTGGGGGGGTAGCTGTTCCAGCCGAACAGGACAAGACTGGGACAACGCGAGGGCTCCTCCAGGAAGAGAGGAGCTCAGAAGGGTCTATCCCCACCCGGTCTGTTTTGTCTGTTTCCTGGGAAAGGTAGATGATCAGTCCCATTCCCTACTTCCCCTGAGGGCCCAGTCGAGTGTGTCTCCAGCACCCGGAGGACGCTGAGCGGGCGTGTGACCACCACGTGGGGTGGTAGCTGTTCCAGCCGAACAGGACAAGACTGGGACAACGCGAGGGCTCCTCCAGGAAGAGAGGAGCTCAGAAGGGTCTATCCCCACCCGGTCTGTTTTGTCTGTTTCCTGGGAAAGGTAGATGATCAGTCCCATTCCCTACTTCCCCTGAGGGCCCAGTCGAGTGTGTCTCCAGCACCCGGAGGACGCTGAGCGGGCGTGTGGAAGGCCGAGCTGAAGTGAGGTCCAGGAGGAGAGAGCAGGGACCCCACCCCACCCCACCCTGTCCTGTGCACTGGCCAGAGTGAGACTGTTTACTCCTGCTTCTCAGGGGCCAGGCCAGGCTTGGGCCCATCTGCAGGGCCGGCTGAGAGGAGACAAAGGGGTGTGGCCTGGCAGGAGGGAGGCCTCCCTGCGCTTCTTTGCTCCCCCACCCAGGCCTGCCCAGGGCCCTGCTGACCCTGTCCTCTTTCTGGGAGACCAGAGGGGAGCCGTCAGAACTCGGAAATCAGCACCTGGATGCCAAACCAGCAGCTCCAGCTGCCCTTCTCTCCCTGCCCCGGTCCCCAGCTGTCTCCCCAGAGCCACGGGGTGTCTGGGGTTCACCCTGCCTGCATGTGGTGTCCCAGGCTCAGTCCTCCCCGGCCCTGCCCTCCACAGCAGGTGGGGGAGGAGCTGCCCTGCTCAAAAGGTCACGTTTACTCCACTAATCGCTCTTCTCTGTCTCTCCAGGTTACAGTGGGGAAATGCACCGTGTACAGCAAGAGAAGCAGATGCTGGGAACAGAGGGACTTCCTGCTGCCCGGGAAGCTGGGGGATGCGTCCAGGGTCTTGGAAGGTGGAAGCCCCACTGTCTCTAAGGCCCTGCTCAGCCGCTCCCCCGAGCCCCCGGGGCCCAGGAAGGATGGGACTTACCCCTGGAAGCGTCTTCTGTTCGTGCAGGGCACTCTGGGCCTTCAGGGCTGAATCGCGGGCACAGTATGTCAGGAAGGCACATCCTGAGGAGGGCAAAGCCAGAGCCAGGGTCAGGGCTGAGTCCCCGGCCTCCCCTCCCTAAGGGGCTCCCCTTGAGACTGAACTTTTCCTTCCTGCCTGCTGGGGCGGGAGGGATCTTAGAGGGGAAGACACTGTGGAGACCTGGAATCTGAACACGGGCAGAAACAGCAAGGGGGCTCCAGGGCTGCTCAGAGATGGGCCTCGGTGCTGCCTGGCCTTGCCAGAGAAGTGCAGAGCGTGGTTTTGTCTTCCTCAGCTGGTCTCCTTTCCCCTTTCTCCTCCCTCCATCTTAGTCATCAGCACCCCTTTCCTCTATTTTACCTATTTCCTTGCATCCCCCCAACTCTACAGGAGGCAGGTACATGGTGGAGCACGAAAGCCAGGACAGGAAAACACAGCCGGAAGTGCCTTTTCCCTGGGCCCCGCAAGGCCAGGAGGGAAGATGGCCCAAAGATCCTCAGTGCTTTCCAGGTTCTGACCCCAGGGTCAGCCCTGCTTAGCTGCACCGCCCAGAGAGAGGCCTCAGGGGCCTCCTCCTTCTTAACTTTCTGACCCCTCCCCACTTCCCAGGTCACCACAGAGCTCTGCCTTTTCTGCCCAGCTCCCAGGGTCCCTTATCCCTGTCTTCAGTCCTGAGGCTGCCTGCCAGGGCCTCTCCGTGAGGTGCCTGCTCTGTGTCCTAACCTCCACCCTGACATTCTCTCTCTCTCTCTCTCACACACACACACACACACACACACACACACACACCCCTGCCCAGCTCCTTATCTCTCAAACCAGCTCTCTCTCCTCCATCCTGTTTTAAATTCACCCCGTGACCTCCATCTCTGGGGTCCACATCTCTGCATCCCTCCCGACAACTCTTCACCCCCAAAAGCCGCCCTGGGTCCTCCGTCCCGGAGTCTCCTCGTCACTCTAGCTGAGTTCTCTTCCAGCCCCTCCATCCACAGTCCCGAACCCCTGGCCTCTTCTCCTCCATAGCAGACCTTACCAGGCCACTCCGCCTCCCCGCCTGACTTTTCTCCTTCTCTCGCCTCCCAGCCACCCCCACTGCCACCTCTCCAGCCCGGCCTGACCCCTCACCCTTGTGCAGCCCGGTGTACTTGTCCTTGATGACAGTCAGCTCGAAGATCCGACCAAACTGCTCAAAGATGGGCTTCAGGTCCTTTTCCTCCAGATGCCTCGGGATCTGCCCCACAAATAGCTTGATGGCATCCGGCTCCTTCATTGGGGCGGCCCAGGAGGAGGGGCCGAGGGGAGCAGGGAGAGGCCCAGAGGCCAGGGGAGCTGCCCGACCACGAGGCAAGTGGAGGGGGCCGGGGGCCCGGCGGGGCCAGCTTTCCCTGTGGCCCCCGACCGCACTGCTGAGCCGGGAGCAGCTCTTCACACAAAGGAGGCCCCGGAGTCGAGGCTGGGGTCAGGGGTCTAGGCAGACGACGCCGAGCCGCCAGGGGGCATAGCCCAAGCCGGTGCGCTCCCTCCCGGAGGCCTGGCAGCGCTCCCAGGACGGGTCAGAGTGGCCAAGACCCGAGAGCTGGGCTGGCTTCGGGGCACCGGGGCCCGGGAGGCTGAGAGCCAGGTGGCAGTGAGAGGTGCAGGTGCGGGAGAGGCCTGAGGGAGGGGACGGGGAGAAGACAGGTCTGGGGCCTGAGGTCTGGCTGCCAGCAGCTTCAGAGAGGGGCCCCTCCTGATGTGGGGCCGGAGGAGCTCTCGTTGGCTTCCCCGGGAGGGCACCTCCCCTGTGGCTGATGCTTCTGCCGGGTCCGAAGATCCCTGATGCCAGATGCTTGATTGCT